CATATGTTTCGCCGGCATCGTAGTCGGCATTTTAAGTGAGTGCTGCCATTCTCCGTACCAAGCTACGAACGCGCCAGAGACCAGTGAAGTCGACCCCTCGACAAACATTATGCCCAAGACGGTTACAGTATCACTCCTCTTTCTGCCCTGAAACAACTTCTCACTTATTTACGAGGTCAACCCACTTCTATAAACCGAAAGGAGAATGCGACCATACCAGAGGACACATCTTGGTCTTCGTATTTTCAAATACAAACAAGAAGCACATAATATCATTGTGGGAAAATTCAACTAGCATTCTTATTCATCTATCTCCGATATCTCCGCATCCACTGCCCTGCAGAGTCTGTGATGTTCTTTGATCCTTCCAGTAACTCCGAAGAGTCAGTAAGCATCACGTGTACTGGCTGGGCCGACTTTGGGATTCAGGGAGGAGCTAAGCTAAGACGCTTGGACCAACGACATATATCCAACATCTAATATGTGATTTCAGGTATTGTATCCTCGGAGAACTTGTCGGAAAAGTTGATGACCTCTTTCATTGTGAAAAGCAAAGTGTAGCATTCTCTGTGAGATCGCAAAGGTTAAGTAATCGAGAATAGATTCACCACAATCCAAATCATCGTATTGCCTAATTGGTGTCGGAAACCACATTAAAGACCATGTCAAACAGGCCCATATCCCCTAATTATTTTGCCTGTATTTTACATAAGCAGCTTAAAAATATGGCTAATTTTTCATTTCATAAGCAAGTTTTCGGGAATTCTAGTACAAATTATATGAGCAGTATTCACCCAATTTCGCTTGATGTGACGAAGTATGAACTAGCAATCTCGAAAACCTACTAATGAAACGAAAAATAGGTAATATAACCAATTCCCCAAGCAAATACAACTTTGCTTCCCCCATGATCCCTTCACAGAAGTGTGATATATGAAAGGCGTAGGTTTCCTCAAGTCACTTTTGCCATAAGCCAATGGCACTAGTGACAGCGTTGTATAGTGGTTAACGTATCCAGGTTATACGTTGCCTCATAAGAATTGGTGTTCCGTTGGGGTCTTGATGAAACCTAGGCGAGATCGTAAATACAGGTCGCCCTCAATGCGAATATCTTTTGAAAAGCGAGACTGCGAAATTCAATGAAACTGTAAGGCCCACTCGTATCAGTTAACTACCAGTCGTCAATCAGCTTAATCGAAATATGGTGAATACAGTTCTTAAGTTAGGCTGTCTTATAATCCCATATCTAAGCAATTTTTGTCATGTTTGTTTTTTACACCGAGAACCTTCGTGACTTCCTGTCCGCCATACGAGTTTTTGAAAAGCTTGAAAAGTGAGAATCCTGATCAGATTCTAACGGAGCTTAAGTAGCCTATTAATTGCCATATTATAAGTTTATTCTGCCAACTTTCGTAACTATGGCAGAGGACTCGGGATAAATGTTGGTCAAGCTGTTTGTATACAGAGAAGAGGCATGTGACCAAATTTAGAAGCCACAGCATGCTTATCACCGTATATTCGATTAGGCCTAGATGGTTGACTAAACAGGCTATTAACAGACATCTTGGCAAAACCTGCCGAATAAAGAGTTCTTTCTGCTATCATAAATACTGAGTCTTTGAGCCAATCATGCAATTGAAGAATATTCATCACACCTATGAAAAAAGGCCATGTCAAAAAGGCTCATATTCATTAATTATTTTGCTTGTATTTTACATAAGCAGCACACAAAGTATCCAATCAAGCCGAACAAACATTGAAACTGTGTATGCGCATTGGGGCACCTTAGTGTGCTGGACAATGCAAAAACCTTAAAGCTGAACAGAACGAGAAAAATACTCACAGCCGATATGAAGACCAAGATTTTATGTACTTAGAATTATATGGACTACTACCACTGTGTACCTAGACATACACCAATTTCAAAGAACTTACCTCCTACTGCGAATTATACCACTGTTGGTATCGGACCTGGTACATTACCAGAAGGCATTGTTACTGAAAAGCGCCATATACTTAGTCCCGAGTTATAATTATTAGACCATTAGACCCGAAATACGATTTTGTGCTGAACAGATAGTTTCTCTTCTTCTCAAGAACCGAGACAGTATTCAATTTCCTTACACCCACTTCAGATGGCTAAATCTCTTAGTTGCAGTTCGAATCTTTGTTTGCGGTGAGAAACATAATACGGATATCCCTGTGAGTTCACCGGAGCATAGTTATTTCCGTTGCCAGTCACACACCCCAGCTGCAGATCTACACGATTCAAAGTGAAACCTTAAGTGAGTAATAATCTTCATTCACTCCAATACTCTGGTGAATCCTTGCCCATAGTTCCTGATTGCAACTACAGGTAGTTGGGTAATTCAGCCAATATTCATATTAGGAATCAATCCACACCAGGAACCCTACATTCCAATTAAAAAATACGAGCGGTAACCATTCATAGGTAGATGATAAACCATATCACTTGTTTGTTGAAAGAGAGAAATGAGATTTCCATTAATAAAGTAAACGCGGAGTCTTGGAAAATGATATAGGGAGATGCAAGATTTTAGATCTGGAAATAAGCACGATAATTAGCAAGTTAAACTGCGAATATTCACTAAAAAACACGATCATTCAAAAACTAAACAGAATAACCATGTATTCCGAACTTCAGCGGTTATACTGCTAAGTCTAAAGAATAAGTGAACCGCTGTAAAGCAAGGCTAGCCTAAATAGCATATTTGAAAGCCAATTACAAATAAACTGTAAATGGGCAGGAATGACTTAAATAATAAATGGAGAAGAATGCATATATACAAAAATATATTGAAAATCAGACAAGCGATTAGGAAATAAGATAACACAGTATCGTCATTCGTTAAATTTAAAAGAACATACATTGGTAGAAATAGTTCCACCAGTGTATGTGCCGCGCTTTCGTTTGGTCTTCTCATGTTTAAACTCTTTGCCCCTGGTCAACTTCAGTGCTTGATTTGCTCTTTCTCCCCAGGAACCCTGAGCTCCTAGCTTAAAAGATTGCAGGAATAAATTAAAAAGAAAATAATTCGAAGAATGTAAAATAATATAATACTTCATGAAAAAAATGATTGCATTAGATTCAATGGTTCCGAAATAGAAGAATAAACTGGCTAAAGATTAATGAAATGAGCATGGATCATGGACCAGTGAATTGCACACAGATTAGCATAAAGAATGAGCTGCATTTACATCTCAACAGGTCTACTCAGCACCTGCAACGATATTCGAGTCGTACATGCAGCTCTATCGTTATGCCACACATTCACGAGTGCTAGTGGTCCAGTAGACAGTTTTACGTATAATGGAATCAATGTAAACAAGGCAAATTTGTATTTAAAGTGCAAATTGATGGTATTAGCATGCATATGTAATACTTCAATAGTAAAATAAACAGCTTATTTTCCAATATTAAGATACCTAAAATAATTAGAGCTGAGTAAGATCAACTAACAGTTTAGAAAAGTATTGTATCAGGGGGTTATTAGAATACGCGTATATGAAATTAAAGTGAAGAGAAATGAAGGGGCCAGAATAAATGAGATCGCAAGCGAAGAGGCTAGTACCTTGGCTTCAAAAGAATTGTTGCTCAAAGCGGGAATCAAATTAACTTCATCATCACGAACTCGACGATACGGAGCTTTAGACGAACCAGGTTTCGGACCAACCGAAAAAGGGGCCTGAATCTCAGATCTGGTAAATTGAGAATCTGAAAAGAGATGATTGCGAGGTAAGAAAAGAGTAGTTAGAATGTGAAGGCAAAGGTAAACGATAGCATCCAAAATTTCGTGAAAATCGAAGGATGTAATAAAGTTGATATATTGATCCATAACACCACAAAAAAATAATAGCTGCATGGTTAAACAATCTTTCTGCACTGTAACACGAAAATGACTATTTAGTAAATCTTAGTAAGTAATAAATGCATCAGGAGAAAAATAAAATAGAAACGATGAAGTTGTTTGACCTTATTTACACAACTTGGTCATATTGGTAGGAAGACTTAGAGGAACGCACCTTGTCCTGAGTCCATTGAATGCATAATCATTTCCAAAGTAGGACCGTGGACGTGGTACACTCCCAGACGTTTCACTGGCATCGTAGTCGGCATCGTCAGTGAGTTTTGCCACTCGTAGCACCATAATAAAAGTCGTGAAAGAGACAAATGAAATCGATCCTTTGACCAAACGTGTTCTAAACAGTTATGGTATCTCACCTTCTGTCCTGGCCTATTCACATTTCCTATATCATCCTATCACGCCTTCACTGTCACAATTTTTTACTTGCTTAATAAAATGTGATACGATGTGCCCTTTTTTTAGTGGCTTTCATGAGAACCCTCCGCACTCCACGCTGACCTTCTCACCCCCCTTCATCCTTGTGCTGGGAATGTTGATCGGTCTAGCATATTGTTACACAGTCCTCCTTCCATAGGTCTTACAACAGTCTCTCTTGCCCCGTAAGATCAGTCTGCCCTCTCCCTGGTTCACATATTTCACTCGACCCCTGCCACCCGAGGCG